CCCTTCTTTGGAATGGGAACAAATATAGATCTCTTGCAGTCCATTGGCCAAGTGGTTGTTCTCCAGATTTCTTGGCACAGCTTGGTGAGCACATCCAGGGCAGCATCTGTTAGCTGAAATATGTCAATTGGTATACCAATAATATAATAATATACTCTTTGGAGTACAACTCTGGAAATTATACTTGTCTATCTGCAAAAGAATACTACTAGAGTAGGGGCTCACACAGATACATCTACATGTATATACAGAATGTGTACACACATATATAAAACTATTTGCAGTAGTCAAAAGGTGTCCCGTCAGCAGATGAATGGTAAGTAAAATTTGGGACATATCACTTAGCCATAAATAAGTACTGAATTCTGATAATCTTATGCTAAGTAAAATAATTTAGAAACCTAAGTACGAGCCCACTTATATCAAATACCTAGAGGAGGCAGAAAAATAGAGACCACAGTTTATGCTTAAGAGATACTGAATTTCTGTTGAGGTTATGGAAGACTTTTGGAAATGGAAAGTAAATCCAGCGATACTTGCTTAGAACTGGAGAGAAATAGAGTGTATGGGAAGTTTGAAGGTGATAGCTGAAGGAAATGATGCTTCTTTTTGAGGTGATGAAAGTTTTAAAATTTACTATAGAAATTTTAACACAATAAGGTAGATTATTGTCGATTGCCGTCGAGTCAAGCACAACTCATAGCGATCTCAATGAAGGTCTGAAGCCCCTCTACAACTATTGACATTTATCAAAGTCCATAGAGTTTCCAGAGGCATATTGTTTAGGAAGTCGATGCCACTCCTGCTTCCAAACCTGTTTTAAATTGGGAGACCCACCAAACACTGTCCACCATGAGTAACCGTTTATATCATAAATATATTGTAAGGAAAGATTACAACAAAATTTTATCCATTTCTTAGTGTGTGTCAGACCAAAGAACCTATTGATTTCACCAAGTATGAGGATAGAGTGAGGTGAAAAGGAAGGGTCCGTGAGTCTACAAGCTGGGAGGAAGATTCTCCTTAACTAGTTTCCTGACTCTGTGTGTGTGTGTGTGTGTGTGTGTGTGTGTGTGTGTGTGTGTGTGTTGAGGGGGGAGTAATGAGTGGGAAATCAAGAGTATAAATTAGCTACTGCTTTGTGTTAAGTATTACTATATGAAATCCTTTAAGCAGTGCCCTATAAGCATTTAATCTAGCTCTCCAGCTGCATATTTATACTGGCTTCTCCTGCTGTTCTTTGTTTGTAAGTAAGTTAGGCTCATTGTGGTTGTGGGTATTTTTAGACAGACTAGACATCCCAGAAACCATCTGGTCTTTTGACAGTGGAAATTTTAAGCCAGTTGCTTTTCAGACAATACTGTTTTCTCCTGTTTATGACTTCATTTTAGGCTTTGATAGAGAGAGCTTCCCTGGAGGTATTAGGTCTGCTTTGTGACAATATAGAAGAATATAAGATCATTATGCTGTGATGGCAAGAGTATAGGTTTTAAACTTAAGAGATACAGGTTTAAATTTTGGCTTTCAGCTAAGGGACGTGGAAAATAATACTTCCCTCAGTTCTTTTACTGTCCAGTAGAAATACTGACCTCATGGGATTTTTGTATGGATTAGATTTAAAGGACATGCCTTTGTGCCTAATAGATAATGGGATCCTAGTAAATGGGAATTTGGTTTGTTTGTTTTTTTACATTTTCCTTAAAGGTGTATGTGTGAGGGAGGCATCTCTGTTAATTTTTTACTCATTAACAGAAATTTATTGATTGTTTCCACTATGTGCCAGGCTCTGTCAGTCTTTAGGATACAGAAATGGTTATGCATAAAAGAGCAGTACTGTTAGAGCTCTGTTCATTATAAGGACATTACCAAGTTCACTGTTGTTGAATATTGTAGACAGCATTTAAAGCCTCTTAACCTGACCAGTTTTGTTGCTATGTACCTGTCAAGTCAGAACAGACTCATAGCCGAACCTCTAGTGGATTTTCAGAGGCATTAAATTACATGGGATGATACTGTCCATCTTTCCCACACAGAGCAACTGATGAATTTGAACCACTTACCTTTGTGTTGGAAGCACAGTTCCTTACCACTAGGCCCCCAGAGCTTCCTCAGTCAACATTATGATAAATGGAGAAAGAATTGAAGCAGTCAGTGATTTCATCTTGTTTGGATCAACACCCTAGGTAACAGCAGTCAGGAAATCAGAAGACAGATTGCATTGAATAGGTTTGCTGTCAAGGACCTCTCCAAAATGCTGAAGAACAATGATGTCATTTTGAAGACTAACATATATATGCCTGATTCAGGCCATGGTCTTCTCAGTAACCTGCTATGCATCAGAGAGGTGGACAATGAATAAAAATGACCAAAGAGGGAGCTCTGGTGGCCTATTGGCAAGAAGCTTCACTATAATCCCAAAGGTATGCAGTTCAGATCTACCAGATGCTCGGATGAAGAAGGAGGGGCAATCTCCTCCTGTACCAGTCAGATCTGATTTGATGGTACACACACACAAAATAATAAAATATGGGGAGGAGGGGAGGGCAGGGAGGAAAATGCAACAATGAATGAATGGAAATCCAAAATCTCTGTATAAATGTTCATTGAAATGAAATTAAAAAGTTTTTA